AGCTCTCCACCAGGGAGCTCGTCACCAAGTAGCTCACCACCAGGGAGCTCGTCACCAAGTAGCTCTCCACTAGGGAGCTCGTCACCAGGTAGCTCACCACCAGGGAATTCGCCACCAAGTAGCTCATCACCAGGCAGTTTGCCACTAGGGAGCTCCACCATCCTCTGAGTCACAGGTCACCTGGGAGCAGGTCAAGTGACGAGATACTTGGCCAAAAAATTGGTACATTTGAAAAAATTAATACGTGACCAGAAACGGTTACATCAATTACATTTCAACGTGCATTAAAAATATTTTCCGTACTTCTCAGGATATTTTCATTACGAGAACATTTCCCGTAATGCGAATTCAAAAGACCTATGACTCGATCCAAGGATATTAAAGTATCCATGCAATGTGTATGGAATTTGGGCGTGTGAATCGTGGGAGTTGGGACGACCTAAATGTTAAATAGTATGAATTTGGGGTTTCGGACAATTTTAAACGAAAATACTCCTGTTATTTGCATTTTTTTGGATGTGAATAAGTAATAGAAAGTTGAAGGAAGGTTCTTTCACAAACAGCCTTCGGATGCAATACATAGAAAAGGAACGGAAACAAGTCAACAAGCCATTTCCTTGAATATAATATTTTTCGACGGTAAATGATTTTCATATTTGGCCTAAATTTGAAAAATCCGACCTAAACGTCTCACCTGAAAAACTAACCCTTTTGGGCTCCCAATTAAATTACCACGTGAGAGATTCCTAGATTGTTTAGGCTCAGTTTGAAAAGAGTACAAATACAAATAACGTATTAGAAATACAAAATAGAAGGTTTTGCATTATAAACATTTGTATTTATACTCTTCCCAAACGAAGCTTTGGGGACTTCACTAAATGATCCCTATTTTGCTGTTCTGGTTAGAGTGCAGAAGAAAGCTAACCTAGGTTTCACTCTGTATTACCTATGTAGCCAATTTCCAATGTGCCCCGTATAACAATTCAGGTAACCATGGTTTGAATAACAGATGAATCTGCAGAGAACGTACCACCGTAGTTTTTAACCATCTGATTTATAAACCTGTTTGAACATTGAAAATACCAAGCAACAAACACTCAAAAATATATATATGAAATTAGAGGTACAGACTACAGAATAGGTTGCCAAACAAAATGGTCAACTAGTCGAAGGGTGCAATATTGCAATGGATAATGAAATCTTCTTCCATCAACAAAACTAAATTTACAGCGAATCAGCTACTAACAAAGTGATATACATAAAAGGAGCAGAAAAGAATATACCAAACAATCCCATTACACTGATGAATCAACCAATTTATTAGTTGATAACCAGCAGCTCGAATCAGGCTTGATTTTAGAGAGAAGTCGTATGAAATTCAACCATCGAATATAGAGGGTCATGCCATGCAATCGATATGCCTCTGAGAGCATAGACTACTAATAAGTATTTCTCTCACAAAAATAGGCACAAACACCAACTGATCAGTTGGTGAACACCCCTCCCCCAGATTGGAAATTTTGAATGACGGCATCTCTGATTGTTCAGAACTTCATATGCTTATGACCTGAGCTTTGGTTTGACAAAGAATGCTGACAGTATGCTTTTACGGCGAACAGGGGCACGAATAATCTGATTATGGCCTCGGTTGTCAATGGACCTGAATGCTGTCAATTGTTTAGATCCCTCTGAAGAAGTATCCTGCAAAAAAGCTCAAGTTCGTAACTTTTCCAGTTGTCATCCTACTGGCATGTTTTAAAAGGATCTGCTTAAAGAGGCAATATGTTTGATAATGCAACACAGCATGGAAATCGTCCTCCCAGACATGCCACAACAAAAAATAAAAAAGAAAAGAAAACCAAAAGAATAAATAGCTAGCACATAGGAAGCAGTGCATTGTACTTAACAGAACGGAATGGCAAAACAGGATTCGTGTAGCTGATCCATATGGTTGGGACAAGGAAGAAGTGTATTGTTTGGCTTGCAGGCCTGGTTATGTGATAACTCTAACCCAAAAGTGTAGTTAAACCATTGAGATTATCCAGAAGGAAGAAATCCTATTTGAACATGTTCAATTGACCAGGTAAATTTTTGGATCATCCAGACGTAAGAAATAAACAGCTTGTCAATTGAATTATCCTTGCTGCAGAAAATTAGTCATTGCCAATATGAAATTAAGCTCTTATTTGTCCACTAGACCATATTTATGTTGAACACCAACAAATCAACATCTTCATGGAGTATATGATGAAGCACGACCAATCCCTTTAACACCAACAGCTTAACCAATGTTTCATTCTGTAAGCAATTTCAATGAAATGTATACATTCAAAAAGAATAGATCTTGCAAGTAACACTAAAGAAATCACATTAATCAGAACTAATGGCCTGCTTCTTTGATCATTATAAGTTACTTTCCCAAGACAAATTGCAACATGGGGAAAATTACAAATTATCTAATACAAGAATATCATCCACATACAGATAAAGGGAGACAAATGACAAAAAGGTAGGAAGAGAACAATGTAATATATTTGCATCTTGAAAAAAAAAAAACAAAAAAAGAAAAGGATGAAAACTATGGACTTCTGAAATGGATGATCTAACAAGGGGATAATTAGGTGGTGGCAACATTGACACAATTACTTGATTGATAAGTCTAGGGAGAAGAAGAGAAAGATTCAGAGTTTTCAGTTATAATGGTGGGGATAAATTGAAGCAATTGATTGATGTAAAGAGAGCATATGATACCTGTGAGAGAGACATCATAGCTTCCAATTATGATGGGACTCCATCAAGGCTCAAAGCTTGGCCCTTATTTGTTTGGACTAGTCAGATGAATTAACTAAACATATACAGAAGGAGGTCAAATGGTGTATATTGTTTGCCTATGACATTGTTCTAATTGATGAAACTAGAGAGGGATTAGATTGGACTGGGTTTCTCCATTGCAACCTGGATGACCAGGGCTCAAATCTTGGAACAGCCTCCCTGTATGTTTAGGGGTAAGGCTGCATACATCTGTCCCTCCCCGGACCCCGCATTGGCAGGAGCCTCATGCACTGGGCTGCCCTTTTAGAGAATGATTAGATGCAAAATTAGGTTTATGAGAAATGTATGATCAAAATAAGAGGTGCACATTTGGGGTCCTGAATGATAGGAGAATACCACTGGGGCTAAAAGGAAAAATTTATAAAATGGCTGCAAGGCCAGTAATGTTGTATAGGTTGAAGTAGTGAGAAGTGACTTAAGGGCACACACTTAAGAATGGATTGCACTGAACAGAGTGGAATGGCAAACTGGATTGATGTGGCCAAGCCCATGAGAATTGGTATGAAATTGACTAAAAATAACAGCATGAGAATATTTCCAAGGGATTTTAGGGTGTATGGGATGTGGTGTTTAGTACTAAAGCATAAACGACAAAGATTTCAAAATTTCTGGCCATCTAAGAAATAAAGAATATGCTGAATTCAAATTTATGCAACAATAATCAAGAGTGTAATGGATGAAAAATAAGATTTAACAAAACAATTATAAGTTTAAGAATAGAAATGAAAATCAAGGCATTAGAAAATAAAAGGATACAATTGTTAAACAATTCACTACATTAACTTTTATTAAAATTGACTTCGAAAATCAAACTATAGGTAACTCGGTTATGAAGGAGAAAGTGAGAGAACATGATTTTTTCTCATAGCAGAAGCACTTCAGGGGAACCAGTCTAACCACCCTTAGTAATTTACCCTCCCCTAGAGAATGGCTAGGGATGGACCTCACCTGGTATTTTGCCAAGTTTCTCCTCAGCTTCCTTGCTGGGGCTTTCTCCTTTGGGGAGGAATCAAGATTTCTACTTTTAGATTGTTCCTGAACTGAAGAACAATCATTTGTCTGTTTTTTACCACTAAATTATGTTTCTCTGACTTTGAAAAAAATTGTCATGCTCCTCATATGAGGATTATGACAGTATGACACTGCATCAGAGAGTTTGAGTCCATTTTTTGGCATCAAGTGCATAATAACTTCTATAGCACTCAAATAGACCTCTCACAGTGTCACTTTAGTTATTAACCTCGATGCCATCCATTAAGAGCTTAGAACTGGACTTTTCCCCTCCTCTAGCTTAATGAGAAACTCTGTATTTTTATAACTTTCTTCCAGCAGGGGCCATTTTTTGTAAATGGTAAAATCTCGGGCTGACAAGATTGAGTTTGAGAGCAGCCATTTTGTACAAAAAATCTTGCCATAGGTTAGGTCTGTATCCAGTCCACCCCTCCCAAGACCACAGATAGCTGGCACTGATATTGGGTAATGACTTTCTCATCACTTTCTTCCAGCCATAAGCTTTTCTCTCCAACTGATCTTGTCTCTTTCCAGCACCACCTCAACTTATCAATTTTGACCTCTTTCAACCTCTTGCATGGTTATTGCTTTGGATACTGGAAGAGCTCATGCTACCCCTTATAACAAGCTTTCAACAGATGAAAATCTACGTAACTCTAAATCTAGACCATTCTTCCATAATGATTTCTTATGGTCATTTTCTCAAACCTCATTTGAATTTGGATAATCAAGTTTTGATTGCTTTATATGCACAAGGTGATCTTTAAACGTCATAATATAGACCAAGGCAAAACCGCAATAGCTATACAAAGAAAGTTTTAACATGTATACTTTTCCAATTCTTCAAATCCCCTTGTGTTCTTCAATTTTCATCATGCTCTATTGTCAGGAGACAGGAGTGCAAGTTAGGTACCCAATTTGGATAATTCCACAGCATTGGGTCTATTCAAATTTAAAAAAAAAAAAATGCTGAACCTGATCCTGACCAAGTTGCACCCCTACCAATGGTTCTCCTAAGCTGCAAACCATTAAATGGTAAACACAAGCATTTCACTGGAACAAAGATTTTCTGTTCATGGTAGCATCCAATACCGAGTTACAAAGATGAACTAGAAGAAACCCATGTCATTAATAGGCTGATGTTAAAAAGATGTCCATGTTACATTTAGTTTCTTAACTGAATTGGTTGTGGGTGAACATAAATAGCCTCATATTTAATTTATTATTTAAAAATTCAAAAAAATCCAAAAAATTCTAAAGAGATTGGGAAGCAATTTGAGGAGTCTCACGTGGACAACTGCATTTTAGAATAAAGTACAGATCTCACAGAGCACAAACACAAGCACTTTGACTATCCTACCCTAAAACGTGCCTCGCTTGTGCGCTTAGGTGTGCCTTTTAAATCACTGCTCTATACACTTCATGGATCAATACCCACAAAACCAAAAGGATACCTAGTCAAAATGATGAGCATAAGAGTTTCTTACCTTCGAAATGTTTGGGTTTAACTCATCCACATTAGGATGTCTCTTCTCACAAAATGGCAAATGCCCGTGTGAGAGTGTCTTCAATAGTAGCTGAAATCAAGTCAGTTGCTACCTCTTTCTACAAAAATCTATATAAAGAAAAATGGGACAAGAGGCCTTTTCCTCTAGAATTATCCTTCAAGAAACTGAGTTCAGATCAGAAGATGTTCCTTGAGAGACCTTTTTCAGAAGAAGAAATCAAATCTGCAATCTGGAGTCTAGAAGGGGACAAATCTCCTGGGCCAGATGGTTTGTCTAACTTGTTTTATATTAAATGTTGGGATTTCATTAAGTCTGATCTGTTAAAAGTGTTCCAGGACTTCCACAGAAATGCATCGTTACACAGAAGTCTTAACGCTACCTTCATCTCCTTGATCCCTAAAGTGGAAGGGGCCACAAATATTAGGGACTTTAGGCCCATCAGCCTTTTAAATAGCTTCTACAAGATTCTCGGAAAGGTGTTAGCAGTGAGAATGAAACAGGTGCTAAGTAGTTTTATTTCTAAAAATCAGTTTGCCTTTGTTCCGAGGAAACAAATGCTTGATTCTGTCTTGATTGCAAATGAGCTTATAGACTCAAGGTTAAGGGAGAGTTCTCCGGGACTGGTTGTAAAGCTGGATATAGAAAAAGCATATGACCATGTAAACTGGAGGTGTCTGGATCAGGTGCTGGAGAAAATGAACTTTGGACAGAAATGGAGAAATTGGATAAAAGTATATGTTTCTTCTCCCAAATTCTCAGTGCTGATCAATGGCCGGTCAGTGGGGTTTTTTGATAGTTCGAGGGGTCTTAGACAGGGGGAGCCACTCTCTCCTCTGCTCTTTATCTGTATATCAGAACTCCTAAACCAATTCTCCTTAAAGGCAGCAGCTAATGGCTTGTGGGATGGTTTTGAAATTGCTCTAGAAGCGGAAAAAGTCAATCTATTGCAGTTTGCTGACGATACTCTGTTTCCTTGATGCCTCTTCTGACTAGGTGGATGTTCTACTTGGTATACTTTGCTGGTTCGAAGTAGAATCAGGCCTTAAAGTTAATCTTCATAAAAGTAAGATAATCCCAGTGGGCCCCGTTCCTAATCTGGATCTTTTGCTAGGTTGATGGCCTGCCAGGTGGATTATCTGCCGGGTAAATACCTTGGCCTCCCACTAGGTGCCAAATGTTATTCTTCTGCTTTATGGGATCCAGTAATTGAGAGAGTTGGGAAAAAATTGGCATCCTGCAAAGCAAAATATCTATCTATAGGAGGGAGAGTGACCCTTATCAAGAGTACCCTTGCCAACCTCCCTACCTACTTCATGTCCATGTTTCCTATGCCATCTAAAATTGCAAAGAAACTTGAGAAGATGCAGAGAGATTTTATCTGGAGAGGGTGGGAAGAAGAGAAGAAGATGCACCTTGTGAATTGGGATCAAGTTTGTCTTCCTAAGGCAAAGGGTGGTTTAGGTCTTAGAAGATGGTGGCTAATTCGGCCTTATTGAGTAAATGGTGTTGAAGATTTGCTGCAGAAAGATCTTCTTGGTGGAGGTCCCTAATTGCAACAAAATTTGGTGTGGATTGGGGTAATTGGAAGTCTCAGGATCCATACCCAACATGGGGTTGTTCGGTTTGGAAAGGTATTCTAAAATCTCTTCCGGTGATGTATGAGGGACTGAGGTATAAGGTGGGAAGTGGAAATAGGCTGAAATTCTAGAAAGATCCCTGGTGCATGGACAGACCTTTAGCTGAGGTGTTTCCCCTTTTGTTCCAATGTACAGTTGATCAAGAAATATCAGTGGCAGTCTTATGTCATTTCGAACAACTCAGTGATCTGGAATCCTCAGTTCAGAAGAGAATTATTTGATTGGGAAATAGAAGGTGTGATGCAGCTTCTGCAGATTTCACAGGAGCAGACGATTGACATTGCAGGTGAAGATGAATGGAGCTGGTCCTGGAGTAAGGATGGCTGTTTCTCAGTCAAATCCCTTACTTTGAAGCTTAGTAGCAAGGGGGTTACTGAGTTCCCCTACCAGCAAGTATGGAAGTCTTGTGCTCCCTCAAAGTCTATATTCCTTGTTTGGACTATGGTGCTGAACAAATCTCTCTCAAGACTCAACCTGGACATGAGGGGTATTCAGCTCCCTTCTCTGATGTGCGGGTTGTGTGGCTTATTGCCCGAGTCCACAGACCATCTGTGCTTACATTGTCCTATCTCTTCAAAAGTCTGGTACCATTTCATAGGTGTGCCTGGTCTTAATTGGATCATGCCAAATTCAGTGAAAGACCTGCTGCTTTGCTGGAATCTCCAAGGTTTGAAGAAAAAAGGAAGTTTAATTTGGAGAACTATTCCTGCAGCAGTGATGTGGGTAATTTGGTCTGAAAGGAATAGAAGAATCTACAGCAACAAAGCTAAGAGCACTGACGAGATAGTGCAGCAGGCACAGTTAGCAAGCTGATTTCTTGGGTGTCTGTTACACCTGATTTTAAAGAGCTGAATGTTCCTGAATTAGTTAGTTCTATATCCATTTGGGATCTGTAACATGTCCTGTAATCTGAGCAGCTACTTGTGGCTTGCTCTTCTATTGTACTGTGTTCTTTTTTATTCAATAAATTTATTACTTTACCATTCAAAAAAAAAAAGATAACACCATTTATTTACTGCTTTAAGTGGGGGCAAAATGTAGGTACTGCACATACTTTTACAGTTCGTCCTTATTCATGAGGCCACAATGCTAATGGTTTCTACAATACTTGGTCATAGATGGAATTGCATAATCAATAGCATGTATAGAGAAATCATAGCATGTCTCCTCAGGATAAACTTATTCCAGTCATAGAAACATGCAGATCATGTCCTACAAGTCTACAACCATACTTGACAATGCAAAAACTTGAAAATCCATTGATAATCAATATAAAGGCTTCTTCTAGGAAAGAATAAAACGTGACTCAAGATAGCCCTTTGGTATTTCGACCAAAGATTCCACTGCAAAGCAGACAATAAACCAAACTTCAGTCACCCCACAAAGGTGACAACTCTCACATGTCTTCTGCAGAATTAAGGGGAGAAAAAGCAATGGCATTGGAATTCCATTATATTTGCAAAAAGTTGTCCTGCACAAGCACTTGAAGAATCCAAAAAATTGTACTTCGGCAAGCACTTGAATCAAGATTTTGTCACTAATCTATTTTCTGAATAGAAGCATGCTAGACACGTATGATTTTGTCACAAATCAAGATTTTGGAACTCTTAAAGCTACTTTATTATTGCATTCTCAGCAACTGATTTGTTTTAACAAGTAGCATACTGATCTTGGGCAATTCCTTGAAGTCATCATGAATATTGCTCAATTCTATATGAAATAAAGAAAAAATGTGACCCAGAAAATATAAAAAGTTAAACCACAACCAAATGGATTATTTAGATCATGCATCCCTTAGAAGAATGTAGGGCACATCTGAGTTGCTTTAGTTATTGATTTTGGCATTACCCTCCTTGTGACACCAAATGTTTGCGGAACTGTACTAGAAGCAGAACTTCCACTAGAAAAGTGGAGACGAGCAGTTGAGGATTTTGATGAGACAGATTCTTCAGGATCTACAGGAACAAAAGATTGCAGCAAAAAAAATAATGGCTTAATAATGGACAAGCAGACAAATAGTGAAAAACATGTTTAGAGCACTTGAACTTCACACACCCAATAGTTGGAATGTTCCAGAAGTTGATCCAGAAGCTTTTGGGCCTTCCATGCTGCATATAAAAAAGTTAAAACATTAAAGCTCTCAGATAGACAAATAAGCACCTACAAAATCCATTATTCTTATAAACTTAAATAGATTTCAAAAACCTACCCCATCAAAGCATGTTGAGTCCCATTCAAGGTGGACTTGGTTTCTGAGGCTAAATGCCAGGAAAGAGTTTTTGATGGAGGGGTGCCTGGTAAATGAGCACAAAAACTAACATTAAATAACAATTAACAAAGCCTCCTAAAATAGAAGATCTGAATGTGCCAAGACAAAAAAAAAAGCAACCTGAAGTGTGAAGACGGGATCTTGCTTGAAAATGCATTTGCCTGGCGTCTGCTGCTTGTATCTGTGGACTAAACTGCACTTTCTTGTTGACTGAATCTAGCTTGGAGTTGCAGCAAAGAAAATGTTACAATTTGTCCGATTATTACAATACAACTTGCAAAAGAAGTCAATAACAGTAACAATCATACTCGGTAAAATGTAATGCTTGTGATGCCGTGGGATGAACGCCAACAATTGTTGCTGCCTAAGGCCTTCTTTATCCATGTATATTTGACAGGTAAGAAGTTGCTAAATTAACATACAAAGTCAGATCAGCTACTACAATTGAGACTTTTTCAGGAGCAAAATCATCAGTGAGTTCAGTATCAGGAAAGGAATTACCTGATCAAGACAGGAAACCTTTAGCTCCATTGTCGAGACTTCTAATGTTTGTTGTTCAAAGAGATCAGTTAACTTGTAAGCAACTGTACCAAGGTGATCAACAGCATTGACAAGAGCTCGTACTGCATAGTCTTTCAGGTTATCCAGCACCCTGTACAAATTTTCATCTTATTCTGAATACAATAAAAAGAAACAATGCATGATGATATTAAGAAAAAAATTGCCATTAATGAACTGTTACAAATAAGAACATAAAACATTTCCCATGAAAATGAAACACCTATTTTGAGATTTTGAGATCAAATTACATGTAATATCCAATAGCAGCACTTGGGCCACTCTGCCAAAGTAAGAAACCTATGCCAATCTGTTAATTATGTAGTCTCATAAACCTTTAATGGATTGTGGACTTTTTTAATACTTCAATGGCAAGGATAAATACAAGGAGAAAGGTATGGAGGACATAATTGAAAATATCTCCAAAATGGTTGCACTTCGTGTAAAAACCTTGGAGGTGTCTGCACTATATACAACAGATGACATTATCAGAAATTGGAGACAGGTTGCTGCTTCCTCATCAGGAAGAATGATCCTATCAATCTGTTCAAAGCCACCACCTCTAAGATGTTTCAAGTTGAATTTCGATGTATACAGCCTGGATAATCCAGATCCATCTTGTATGGAAGGAGAAATCAGAGATTGTGATGGACAAATACTTGCATTATACTTGGGCCCGTAATAGTTGGTGATTCAACAAGGGCTGAACTATGCACTGCTCTGCACAGGTTGACAAGGGAAAAATCATTAAATTACAGGAACCTTATTATTGAAAGTGACTCAAAGGTTCTTAGAAGGTGGATGAAGGAAAGCCATTAAGGACCATGGCAGTATAGATACACTGTCAAGGAGATCAAAATGTAGGAATTGCAAACAAGGTCAATTGGGCATTGCAATCTACTAATGTATACTAACGGCTTAGTAGATGGTTCAGCAAAACAAGGGCCAACAACAAATCAGCTGTACTGGGGTCACTTATCCCAAGGGGGGGGGGAGGAATTGTAATTGAAAAGTCAAATGAACGCATTTTCTTCTTCATATTTAATAAAAATCTGAGCTGTTACCAATCAGGGAAGAAATCTCATAGAGTTGAACTACTTTCTATTGTTAGTATCCATAGAGTTGCTGCCTGTTGATAACCTTAATTTACAGAGCTCAAGTGTTTTAATTGACAAGTTTATACAAAGAAAGGGACTTCTTATTCACAATCTAGATCCATCATCATTTATGCATCATTATATACCATAAAAACTTTTTTTGTTTTCTTTTTCCTGATAGGGTGTCAGTATGTGATGGGCTTGAGTCTCTCTTGAGTTCTTTTTGGTTTATTTAGTTGTAATAGGATTAGTAGCATGTTATTAGAGATCTTTTAGGAGTATAAAGTCCTTATCTGAGTGTCTTTTTGGGTTACACAAAAGCAATTAGAAATTATTTTGGATTAGTTCTTGAGCAAAAGAGATCTGGAAAGGAAGATTCGAGGCCTTATTTTGAGTTTATAAGTAGAATCATTGTAATTGGAATTTTAGAATTGATTTAATGGAATAAAAAATTATTTTGAATGATCTACATCAATCATTCTGCATGTACATGCAGCAGATTGTAGCCAAGGCCTGATATTCAATAAGGCCAGACTGGAAAATCTTATCGGAGATGAACAAACAATTGATATGAGAACATTGAAAAGATTTCTTAAAAATTTGCCAGATGCCTAGAAAAGGAGAACTAATATAAAATAAGATGTTACTACAGTTACTTCCCCATTGAGAATCAATCAAATGGTGGAACCAATTACCAAAATCTTAAAAAAGGTGCCTCATAAAAGTTCAAGCTAAGAATTAAACAGGCTGTGGTAGCTAGTGTTGCAAAATAAAAAAGGGTGGTTGTCCAAGATTGGGCAGCATAATATGTTTTTTGATCAATAACTGCACAATTTATTAATGAAATAAAAAGAGCATTGTAAAAGAGATAAGAGAGAGAAGATTCTCTCTCATTCTCTCCCCACAACAAAACCCCTGACTTACAACCGTACCCAAAATAAAGTCTCTCTTCCCACCCCTTGTTTGGATAAAACATCAGCTAATGAATTAGCACGTCTCTTAATCCAACTCGAAGAGACTTCCATCTCTCTTGTCAACCATCTGAATTTCTTCTTTTCATTGATGTAGATGTACAATTTCAATTTTTCACTTTGTACACCCTCCATCAAGGCCAAAATTCCTGCTCTAAGAGAGCCTCCCTCCCCAACCGGTCCTGAATATAGAACAATTATCTTGCCCTTCTCATCTCTAAATACTCCACAAATACCTGAGCTTCCTGGGTTTCCAACACTACTACCATCAAAATTAAGTTTGATAAATCCTCTTTCCGGTGGAGACAATTGGTAACTAGAGACAGTCTTAGGTGAACAAGATTTAGCCACTTACTTCCACTTTCTGAGTATATCATCCATTGACACATTTGAAAAAGTTCCATGGATTTCAGCCAATGTTCCACTCTGATCATTATTGTTTCCATTATATCTTCCTTGCTTCTCTCCTCTAGAAAAATTCTAGAATTTCATTCTTCCCAAATTGTCCACACTGTTGCTGCTCTTAAACATCTCCACATGAGTCTTCCCCTTTTCTTTGGCCACACAAAGAAAGTTGGAGCAAAGAGGCTTTGAACATCCATCGGAGGATTCCACCTACACTCAAACAAGGAGAAAAACCATTCCCAAATAGAAGCAATGAAAGAACAAAAGATAAGAAAGTGATAGCAACTCTCACCATTAGCCTTACATAGGGTACACCAATGAGGGGATAAGCACCAATTTCGTCATTTTCTTTGAAGCAAATTACAGGTATTAATCTTTCCATGGACAACTTCACAACTAAAAGCACCAATTCTAGGAGGAATAGGCTTACACCATACCTCCTTAACAGGAAAAGAGCTAGATAAGGCTTGAGACAATGCTTGAAAAAAAAAAAAAAAACAGAAGCACAGGAAAAAGAACCAGGAGTGCAAATCCAAATTTGGTTATCAAACTTAGAAGGATCAAGAAAGACTTCTTCCAACAGTTTAAGTAATGTAGCTGCTGAGAAAACTTTGGCGAAATGGATCTCTATTAACAACCTTTTTAGGGGTTTCAGCCTTAAGCATTTTGTAGATCATTGGAAATCTATCTTATGGGATGAGGCTCTTGTGTTGTAATCTGTAGTCTGTGGGCTTTTTGTACTCGGATGCTGAGGAAATTCTCCCTCAGCAGCCTTACCTCTCTTTGTTTTAATAATTGTTATAATTCAGGTCTGCCTTAGAGTTCGGCCTGACTGAGTTCAGTTATGTAGAAGAAGAAAAAGTGATAAAGAAAGAGAGAAAGAGAAAGAGAGAAGAGAGAATTCTGGTTCGAACTGAAAGAGTCAACTTGACTTCTCCCAGTCGGCCAGTAAGTATTTATATTATTATTAAAACATAACTGAAAAGACCTATGTGCCCTTACTTAAGTTAAGAGCACATGTTTCAACACAACATTACAGATCAGCAACATCAATCAAGGTATAAAGACAGAAATACCCCTACGATAACAATAATACTCACCATTTCTCAACAAAAAAAAAAACAAAAGTTCATGTAGTGTAAGTACATTCTAGAGTTCGGAGTCCCTTAAACCCCTCCGAAAGCCCAAGTCCCAATTAGAGCCATTACTTGAAATTGAAGGAACCAGAAATAGGTTCATTTTCAGAACAAGTGAGTGCAAAATGAGGGAAATTGTTCCTTCAACCAAACATGTTCCTGAATTTAATGGAATTACCACCACATAGATTGTATTTGATAAAAGGAATGAAAAGTGGTAATACTGCATTGATGTCCTTCCAAGGAGAAGCTCAATTTGCCTTAGCCCATGCTCCAGCATCCCAACCATTGTCCAAAAGCCATGAATGCTCACTATCACCTTTGCCCATAGTTTGTCCCAATCTTGTGGCATTCTTCACAGCCATTTCCCCAAGAGAGCTAAGTTCCTCCTTTGTATATTACCTAATCCCAACCCCCCCCCCTACATTTTTACCTCCACTGACCACATCCCAACTAATCCTATAACCCCTCTTTCCTTCACCTAGACCTGAAAGTAAATCTCTCATCATCTTCTCTATCTTCCCGCTCACACCTATTGGAACCTTAAAAATTGGCATGTAATAGATAGGTAGGTTGGAGAGGGTTGATCTAATCAAAGTAATCCTGCCCCCCAAAGATAAGTACCCTTTCTTCCAATTGGCAAGCCTCTTAGACAACCTCTCTACCACTAGATCCTAGAACCTCACTTCTTTTGGGTTAGCTCCAAGAGGTAACCCTAAGTAAGTCAAAGGCCAATGAGCAACATTACACACTAAATGTTTCACTCTTCAATCTCCCCATCATCCATATTTACCCCAGCTATGCAACTCTTTTCAAGATTTTATTTTAAATTTGACAAACTTTTAAGTGGTTGCACCTACAATTTTAGGTTCCTTATCCTCTCTAACTTGTCACCCTCACAAAATAAAATAGTATCATCTACAAAATAAAGATGGGTAATTGGTACATTGTCTCTTCCCACTCTCCAACCCCTTACTAGGCACCTTGAATCAGCTCTTAGGATAAGTCTACTTAAAACATCAACAATAAGGGTGAATAGAAAGAGAGAGAGGGGGTCACCCTGTCTAATTCCTAGCCTAACAGAGAAAAAATCCACCACTATGCCACTTTTTTATCAATAACAGGAATTCATTAGATTAGTAAAAAATTAGTTACAGAACTCCAGAGAGAGATAAAAAGGTTTATCTCTCTCCAAGAGGACAACCAAAAAAAAAAAAAACTTACAATACAGCCCAAAACATTTGGTCCCTTCCCACCCCTTGCTTTGCCAAAGCATCTACATTTGTTGTTCTCTTCACTCACTGAAATTGGATTTCCAACCCCCTAGTTAGCCATTGAATTCCCTCCTCTCATTAGAAAATTTCCAAAGTCCACCACTATGCCATTAACTATCACTAAATAATGAAAAGTCCTCAAACAGCTCCAAATGCATTTACACCACCTTTCTCCAAACCAATACTTCCTCAAAACCTCAATTAGAAAATGCCAATGAACCAAAACATAAGCTTTCTCCAAATCCAACTTGCAAATTACACCCTTTTTTTTAATTTTTTCATTTCCTCAACACACTCACTAGCAATCAAAATTTGATCAGTAATTTGTCTTTCTTTCACAAAAGCCCTTTGATTCGATGAAACAATGAGAGGGAGAACTCTTCAGATTCTTAAATATAGGACCTTAGCAATTAATGGTGAAACCATTCTCTATTTTATCCCAACAATCCTGGTACAAATCAATGGTGAAACCATCTGTCCTTGGCACCTTGGATTTGTCCATAGAGATCACTACTTCCTTAATATCTTCCACTTTAAACGGCCTCTCTAACCACACTTTAGCATCCTCCAAGAGACTAGGCCAATCTAACCCTTCTATCCACAATCTTTCCTCTAAGAGTCTCCTGAAGATTGCTTAAAGTGATTCACAAAAGCCCTAGATATCTCCCTTGGATGAGTGATATCCACACCTAACTCCAATTTGGACACAAAACTCTTCCTTCTCCTACATTGGCTATAGCATGAAAATATTTTGTGTTTTATCACCCTCTTTCTAACTAACCTCTTCCTTATGTAGAATATCCTCCAGTTGCTTCTTCAACGGCCACCTTAGCTCTCTATCTCCCTCCTCAAAAAGACCTTGACTCTTTCATATCCAAACCTTTAATCTTGTCAACTACCTCCTGTTTTCTTCTATTCTCCCAAAATGCTCTAAATTCCACTCCTTGATCTTTGTCTTCAGCAATTGTAGTTTCCTACGAAATAGCACCCCTTTCCATTTCTAGGCCTACCTTCTTCCCACCATTCTCTCACTTTCTGAATAAAGCCAGGATAACATAACTACATATTTTCAAACCTGAAAAGTGTGGGGCCAACACCTAGCAAACCCTCCTTATAAAGAGTGACCGGACAATGATCAGAAGTTACCCTAGGTAGAGCCCTTGACACTAAATCACTCCAATGCTCCTCCCAATCCATCAAGGAGAGAAATCAATCCAACCTGGATGTATGTTATGTCTATTTGCGTTTTTCTGAAGAAAATATCTTGAATTAAATATTTTTCAAAAATAATTTATCAAAAAATATTTTTCAAATTATGAAAAAATACTTTCTAAAAATCTATAATATGCAATGGATTTTTAAAAAATATGGGACCAAAATTCAGGAACTTTTGATTATATATTTTTTAAAATTAAAATATATTTATATTTTACATATGCATACATTTATTATATTATATACATATTTAGATATAAAATATACCGAATTTTCTACTTTGAACTTTTTAACAAAAATGCCTTAAATTGGCCAGTCGTTTAATGTATTATGTTGATTTGTATTATTTGTTCTTGGTTCTAAATTATACACGAAGATTTCTTATATTGCATCTATTTCATACACATATTTGTCAACTATGGTTAGCACCTCAAATTGGGTTTATCAAGTTCAACTTTGATGGTTGTACTTTGGGTAATGCAGGGCCATCTGGGATTAGTGGTGTCTTTGGAAACCAATAAGGCTTTGTTCTTATAAGTTATTCCAATCCAATAGCATGTAGGGCCATCTAGGATTAGTGGTGTCTTTGGAAACCAATAAGGCTTTTGTTCTTATAAGTTATTCCAATCCAATAGCAGCAAGAGAAAGCAACTCTTCAAGGATGGAGCTGCTTGCATTGGTACATGGGTTGAAAAGCCTGAAATTGGCTTTCCCCTTGGGTTAGAATGGAATATTGATTAAAGGAACTTGTTATGTTGCAATTGGATGGGCATCTCTGACAAACAGATGAGTCTTGGAAGCTTAGACATCGTATAAGGGAAGTAAAGGTTTTACCAGCTAGCCTAAGTTGCTCATTGGATTTCTATAGTGGCTAATGGCTTAGCGTATTCATTTGTAAGAAGAGGAGTTGAGATGTTTATAGTGACATAAGGCTTTAGGCCTAGGGGCCAGTGTTCAAAAAATCATAGCTATATCGTATATTTTCATGAACTGTATCGATAAATAATAAGATTATTCCTATGTTTATATATCAGTTAAAAATTAAAAATGTATATATCAAAAACTTATATATGCATACATACATACCTACACACACACATTTTTTAATCCATATCTACTATATATTGTCCTTCATGCAATAGTGTTATCTACTTGTATACTAGAAGCATATGATGATAAAATTGAGGTTCATTTAAAATTCAATTAACCTAAATGTAGATATTAAATAACCTAAATAAATCTTATTCTGGTAAGGGCTTAAAACAAGTGACCCTTGAGAAAAAAAAAAAAAAAGAAACAAGGGAATGACAAAGTAGAGAATTGGGTCTAAATAAGATTTCAAACTGAAACCACAAGATTTTTTAAGAAAAGGATTTAGGCATAAGATTCATGATTCATACATATATAAGTGTTCATAATTATTAAATAACAACTATATCATTTCAAAAGTGATGGTAGGAAAAGAAAACTTACATTTGTTTCTGTTCACTATTAAGATAAGACTTCTCACAGTATTCAGCAGCAGAATAAAGTTGAGGTCTTAAGTTCTTCAGTTCCTGAAACAGTCACTAGCATAATGGTCAAACCAGAACTTAAGCAACAACCCTTGCAATTCAAGTTATTTTAAGAAAACTAAAAAGAAAAAGAATTCATCAACACATTTGACTATGAGCTGATATTTGTTAGCGTGGTTGCAAATTGGTTTCTCTTGTATTGTGCAGTTTATTCGGGATCTATCGCAACCTCAGTTGTTTGGCTTTCTTAACCAAAAATCACTTAAACAAGAATTTCTGATTTTTCATAATCCAGTTCAATTTAAAATTAGTCCCATTCAATCTTCAATTGCAGCATTTAAACTTTTATAACTAACTTGTATCTTAACTGCAATCAAAAGAAATGCAACATATGCAATCAGTCAAGATACCATAATAACCTATTGCTCAAAAAATAAGTATTGCATACTTTCATCATTCAAAAAGAATGTGAAAAAGGGAATAGAAATCAAGCTGCACATGAAAGTTAAGTCAGTCTGGTTTTGTATAATAGTCGAGTTTTGAGTCAAAATTATTTTACCCTCCTGTATCATCCTTTCCCCTTCTTTTCTTAAATAAAATTTTGTGTTTCTGATTAAAAAAAAAGTACGGTTGGGAGAAAATATGAAACATGCAACACATATGATTCAAAAACAAAAGACGCCAAACTAAAAACTCCAGCTTAAAAGACTGGAATGAAATTGAATGCATCACCGTATCTTTAAATTAAATAAAAGTGGGCAAAAACAATATGCCATCACGATAGCGTGAGATTACAAATATGAACAGCTAATGAAGAAACCAAAATAAAATTTAAGTAGACATTCATAAAAAAAAAAAATGAAAAAGGAAAAATAGCTAAGAAATCAAAACAAATAGAAAAAATAGATCGAAGTCAAATAACAGCAAAAAGTCAAAATCACGGAAACCGAAAAGATCTAAACCACAAACCAAGGCAATGTCATCAAGAAGAAGTAAATCCGATCTTAGAACGGAGAGGGAGGAAGGAGCGAGAACCTTACCTGCAAAGCCTTTACGAAGCTCTTGCTTCTCTCCATGGAAACCTCGTCGAAGGTCATGGCCGGATGTCGAAATTGATGCATTTTGGACGTCTCCGCCGATGAGATTTACAGTAGAAAGAATGTAGATACCCTGGCGAGGAGAAATTAATACTGATTTATGGTTAGTGAGTGAGATCATGCGTTTAGGTTTTGGTGGGAAAGCCAACTAAAAGCTAAAGCACACGGAGTGGAGAGGAAGCAATTCCAGAGAATGCGTGTTATTGGATTTACTGTCGTTTAAGAGAAAATGACGGGGTATTTAATGATAGTTATCTGTGGTGGTTGAGAATTGAGACCCTTCTGGCTTCTGTCCTTCACTGTCTTCTCGGACGGTGGTTTCGTCCGTTCAGATTAGAATTTAGAGAGGTGGGGCCGTGGGGGAAAGGGAAGGAAAGGAAACGGCCGGCATTGCTTTTGAGTTTTGAGTTTTTGGGAGACACGATAATATGTGACGAAGCTCCATCACTATGAAGTTTCATTTCTTCATGGTTCATGCAATTCATGATGCCAGCTGGTGCCATCATCAAGACCATTACTTAAGTTGACTAAGGAGAATCCATATATCTAACGGTGTAGATCATTGGACAAAATGCAGTTATTGGATTGGTTCAGTTGAAAGACAAACAAAAGGAGATTCCATTTCCTCGATTCCTGTACGGTATTCGATTCAAGGTCTTGTGGGGCTGGCCCTGGCCCGAAAATGTGTCAAAATCTTGCCAATAACAACCCAATGATGTAAATCGCATCCGTACGATGGCCTGACCCGCACTTCAACGTACGAGTGGCGTCATATGTGGAATCAAGCTTCAGGGTCCCATCCATCGCCCAAAAAAAAGCTTCACGTCCCAACCATGACGCTGATCGAATGATGCAGACTGTAATGCGCTTGGCTGGCAGACTGGTTCTTGGTTCTCGTTTAAGGTTGGGTGCAATGATCATGGACCGGGCTTTTACAGTGTATTAACGACCATTAGGGCTGCCTGGGCCCGCCGCAACTCGCACCCGGGGTCGGACTACAGTCCAAGCCTAGAAGAAAACAGGCTGCCCAGGCCCGGGTTGAAATTATCAATCCTAGTCGGATCTCCCTCCCACTCTGTCCATTGAATCCGGTCCGAGTTCAAATCAGCCCCCCACAAGGGGGTGACATCATCGTTAATTATTCCCAATACACGGCTGGGCTGATTTGAACTCGTACGGTCCCATCATGGTGAGATATTCCTAATGTACAGATGCAATGGATTATTGCGATCAAATCTCTATGATTTCTCATTTGGGGATATCCCGCTCTGTCCTTCACGGCGGGATCTTCAGTTACACAAGCCCCCACCCCCAATGCATGAAGGTAGAGCAGAAAAGCAAATGCTATCATGAATCCCCATCAACATAAAGCTGATCTCGTATAGTCACACACTCCACCAATCCCATATAAACTTGATAAGTTGCTTGCTTATAACGTCACTCCCTGTTAGAGGGTGAGCAAGAAAAATCGAAAAACCTAATTAATTGAAACCGAATCGAAAATTCGGTTAATTTAGATATTTAAAAAAACAAAAGGTGACAATTTGGTTTGGGTTAACCAAAATAGAAAATTGACGGTTAAACGAACCAACAAATATATATATATATATATATATATATATATATATATATATATTTAGTGTTTTATTATATATTTATAATATATATTACAAATAAAAAAAAGCTAACGAACCAACAAATCGAAAATGGTTAACCAAACCAATCAACCGGTTGATCGATCGGCTTCGGTTCAGTTTCAAAAATAAGCCCACAGTACCGAACTGTGAGCACCACTCCTTGTGATCGGATCTGTTGAATTTCTTACCCATGACAATTCCTTTTTCTTTTTTTTTTTTTTTTGAGGGGGGGTAAAATAAGGAGGAGCTAACAAGATGAGTGTTAACTATCCCAGAAGTCACTCTTACAAATGAAATCTAAATCATTGAGGAGGAAGTGAGTCTGGATATCTCTTGCACATCGATCCTGTAGATCTTCTTGTACATCAAATGAGAGGGTGCCAAATCAGCACCACAATATGGGCAAAACTTGCAATCCAAAGTGACAATAACGGACGTTTCAAAATGTCCGTTCATCCTATTTGTAATATATTAAAATTTACATTAAATTTTAAATCAAATAAAAACAAGAGATAAAGGTTTAAAGGCTATCTTCTTGAGAATATTTAACACCATCGGCAGGGAAAAACCAACTAAATCACACCGGAAATATTACTATAAGGCTTTGACTTTTCCCTTTATTTGTGCTCAAGATGTGGAAATTATGAAGGGGAGGAGTAATTTAGGCTATGTAATACATTTGACTCGACTCAAAAAATTGGGAGCTTCAATGAGTATTGATGAATGTGCGATTTGTACTCTCTCAGCTGGAAGGTAGCTTGGACATCAATCTAGCACATGGCCAGTTGAACTGCAAGAAGAACAATATAGAGGTCCCGGGGTGCTTTATCCGGTGTGGGCACTCCAATGCTTAAGTTAGCAAAGAGTGTTATAGCGAGTTGGTTTGCTTATAAGTATGAGAGTATGAGATTTGAATCGTACGTACCTTATGAGGCTAGAGGTAATGCCCTTATATGGGCGAGTTGTCGTAGGCCTCACGAAAAATATCTGAGATCCCCGACCCACGTAACCAGGAGTCTGTTTCACACTCGGAGATGGACTTCGTGTGAGCTGATAAGGCTTATTGAGTCCGTTCGATCTGAACGGGATAAGGATAAGGCTCGCTGACGTGTGGTGTGTAGACCTGTTCATGGGTCGGGTGGCCCAACGGGCCGGCTCGGCTCGGCCCGACCCCCGGACGGAATTGAACATGCTTATAGGCCCGCGGGCTTAAAGTTGGGCCAAAAAAGCCCGGCCCGCAATAAATTCGAGCCGGGCTCGGGTTTTGTCAAAATAGCCCGGCCCGAGCCCGGCCCGACCCGACTTAATATTAAACTTAAAGTTAGTTATGTGATTATGTCCATTTGAATAAATTTTTTGATTTAAGAATGTAAAATTGTGTTTTAAAATATAAAAGAAAGGGAAAATACCATCTTGTAGGCCCATTGTTCATTTAAATAGAAAAAAAATACTATCTGATTTTTTAATTCTAATTTGAATAGGGAAAATTGTTTTTTTTTTCAATTAGGTCGGGCTTCGTGCTCAGGCTCGAGTTTCGGGCTTTTTACCAGGGCCAGGCCCGAGCCCAAGTTATAGGCCCATTGGTCGGGCTGGGCTCGGGCCTAGTATATTTTCATTAGTGACAAGTGAAAGCCCGGCCCGAGCCCGGCCCGGCCCAGCCCAGCCCATGAACAGGTCTAGTGGTGTGATCCTAAAAAGATCAGAGACGACTGGCTAGCTTCTAGAAGAGGGCTACAAGGCACCTTGGCAGGTCAAGACACCACAAGCTACTCAGACCTCAATCTTAGCCAAGGTGTTCGAGGTGCCTGAACTAACCTGGCCTGCTGAGTTGTCATCTAATCATCAGGTCGCTCCACGTGTCTGCGTACTAACGGGTCAAGCCAAATTATCCCTCATCAATTGCCCCCACTCTCGTGCCTGAGGTGCCCAACTTGGGGCAGGAGTTCACGACGAGTCTGGGTGAATTTGGCCTGGTCTCTGGTTTGGTCGAGATCCAACCTACAGGCCAAATCTGGTTGACCCAACTAGCTTAACCTTAGGGCAAGATCACATCTCGGGAATGCATGGACGTTATGCAGACTATAAACTCCGTGGATGTAAAAAACGTGTTTAACCAAGCTCAACTTCGAAATTCGAGCAATTGCCCTCTTGAGAGCCGTTGAATCTGATCGATCTGGACCGTTCATGATCAGTTATACCAGCTATAGATAGGGCCCTTGGGGACACATTTTTCTTCGTCCCATTTGAGCTCTCGTGCAATTGGAGGTCATGGAGCATGCATCATCGGTGTAGCCAGGTTGGTCATCGAGGTTGGTTGTCCTTTTCGGTGAGTCATCTTCCCTTGCTAGTTTATTTCATTCTTTTCCTTCAGTATGTTGAGTAATAGTGGGTCTAGCAAAGAGAGGGCAGAGTCCGATTAGGCCGAGGAGGGCACCTTGATTCAAGACCGACGAGGTTCCCATGAAAGGGCCTCAACTTCTCATCATACCCCAGCTTCTCATTGACCCTCTAGGCCTAAAGAACTAGACCACTTCAGTCCTACTCGGTTGTACGCCAAAGCTGTCTCTAATCTAGCAGCTCGATATAGGATTCCGGATCCTTTTGGTTATTCACTACCATTTATGGCCTTCACCTTGGAGAACGACAAGGACGAGGTCACAGTCTTCAAGGAGGTTTTGAAGGCCAGACTTCAATTCCCGCTTCATGCATTTATTCCCGAGGTCCTCAACTTTTTCAAAATTAGTCTTAGCCAAACCACACCTGAACTGTGGTCAGTACTATCTCCCTTTTTCACCAACTCGGCCTCCCTCTAGACATTAAAATTTTCACCACCCTTGTTCAAATCAAACAAAACCCCACAAGTAAATCGGGCTACTTTAGCTATTACTTGTCCTATCGGCATGGGTACAAGCTTCTTCACAAGTTCCCATCTAAGGTCTTGGCCTGGAAGAGCAAGTACTTCTTTGTCACCCTAGGCACGGGGTGGCCTTTCCTGATGCACTAGAGGAAGCGGAACAAGGACATCGGGGAAGATCTAAGTGAGTAGATGGAGGCCAGGATGCAAGACTTGGTGGAATTTCAACTGTAGCTGGATGACTACTTATCCGAGGTGAAGTTAATCCAGGCCAGGCTTAGTCCTCCGGATAGGTCATCACCTCGGGTGTGGGTACTTTATCTTGTGCTTCTTTACTTTATGTTGACTTGGCTAACTTTCGACTTTCTTTTATAGGCAATATGGAAGATATTTCGGCAATGGGGCTTCTCACCGACATAAAGAAGAAGAAGAGGAAGAGGAAGTTGTCCCGTAGAGACTCATCTTGGGCGCCAACTGCTTAGGTCGTTGCCCCCACCATGGTTGAGGAGGTTTCGGTCATAAACTTGGTTCAAAAAGACCAGGAGAAAGGATCGCCACACCAGCCCGAGGTGATCCAGTCACCTGAGGTGCGCCCTCAACGTCCCGAGGACAGTTCTACAGGTGAAGTCCCAAAGGAGAGTCAAAGCATCATGGATATCCGGACCTGTCTCATTAAAAGCAAGGAGGTCGCCTTCCCCAAATCTCCAAGTTCTCTAAATCCAGCCTGCCGAAATGTGTGCAAAAACGATGCGTAGTGCCATGGTGGTAAGTTCTCGAGCCTGTTACTGTGTTACTACCAAGGTGCTCTTTGGTACTTAGTGAATTTCCTTTCTTCCTACAGATCAATTCCATGGGACA